AAAAGTAATATTTTAAACCACGTGCGTTGTTCAAATTCACTGTAGTTGTCAATTTATTTATTTATTTTGTAATTTTTGCACAAACCTCTTTACCTCAGCTCTAATCAAAATTATTTTTTTTAATCCAGGTTTATTAACCTTTAATTGGCAAGATCTTACATGAAGTCACTGATTAGAAAAAGTTTCCCTGGAAAAATGTATTTACCCAATTAAACACTGTAAAGGCTGTACCACACCAACAGGTGGCAGTCGATTACAACCTTGAAGTCATATTGTGTTATTTATAAAATGAGTACCCAGCACTGAGTTTGCAAAAACACAGGCACCTCTGTTTGGTGATCAAATAAGAAATGTATGCATGTGATCCTATACATGCTGTAATTCAATTCTAATTTAGGTGATGTGGTCAGACAAGAATTGTGATAATGGCTGAAAAGAACAGGTAATTAAATTATTAAAAAGCACCAAATAAAGTGCCACGACCCCCATGTGGCACTACTTAATGAGTCTTTTTTCTGTTATCTTTTTAGGCCAATATTATTATCAAATATGTCAAAATTGTAAAAAAAAATAAAAAAAAAAAAAAGAGAGAATAACACCTGGTGCCTTGCTGATCGCTGTGATCATGTTGAACCAATTTAGGCTACCTAATAAAACAAAGTAAATTCAAAAGTCTATTTTAAGTAGACTTATATGAATGTTTAAGTCAGTTAATAGAATAATTTACTGTTTTTTTTTTGTAGTTCTGTAAGATAACAAAAGCTCTGACAAGTCTTTGACAGGTTTTATGAGATTAACCTGGACTTTTGTCTTTCTGTCAGGGATCTGAACTCTCTGAATGTGTTTCCCATACATGAGCATGTTATGGGTGGAAAGGGCGCCTTCAACCTCAGCTTTGTTTATAGAAGTCGAGTTCGTACAAGCTGAGTCAGTATAGACTCTGTCCAGCTGCACGACTGGATCTCTTCACGTCTCGCTTTCAGTTGCCATTTTACATAATTATTATGCTGTATTCAGGACCAGTTCAGTCAAGAAGTAATAGTAGTTCTCTAAACCATAAAATTTTATCTGATCTTCCAAAAGTTTTGACAGGCATAATGTGGCCGAAATAACATAAAAAATGTTCCATATCTTTGTTGAGAACCACCAAAAAACACCAGTGTTGGTGGGAAATACATATAAAATTACATATACATTAGGGGTGTACTTATATGTTTATTTTAATTTTTGTATTCTGAACGCACTCTTTACTTCTGCCCCCTAGAGGTGCGGTGGTATTATACACTATAATCCGCATCAACCTTGACTATGTTTCTCAACAAGTAAATTTTTATTGTGGTGCATATAATATCGTTTTAAAATGTAAAATTCTTCCCTCTGTTACTGTACATGAGTTCAAGCTTAAAGTACCATATGAAATATGGTGAAACAAAAAAGGTTAATTTCAAAAGGAGCCAATGAATGGCAAAGACTAGAACTAAGGTAACTAAAAGTACATTGTTTTCAAATAATGGATGTCAAATTATTAAAATATCATGGAAAATTGAAATATATTTTTTCAAAGGTTGTAAATCATTAAAACAGTTAAATAAATGCTCTGTTCTCCAGATCTAGTGGCATCACTATTAGCATAGCTTAGCATACATCATTGAATTTAATTAGACCAGTAGCGCATCAGTTCAAAATAATCTATTTATTCATTAATAGGATATTTGCACATGCTTTGATGATGTTTCCCCAACAAAATTCCTTGCTTAGGCTGGAATGGTGCCCAAACTGTATCATACCAGTTTCCTCTTCTGCTGGCCTAAAAGAGAAGCTAAAAAAAGTTCTAATATAGAAGCTCTTCGGTCATTTTGAAGTAAAACGCTACTGGTCTGACTGGTTTCCATGATCTATGCTAAGCTATGGTAAATTGGAGAAGAGGCGAATAGATTAAAAAGCACCATTTTTAACAGGGACAAGAAATCGAGTGATCGCAGGCTTTAAGATTTTCATAGTAATGACTTCCTCTGACCATGAGATGTCAGGCTTGCTCAGATTTTCAGATCAACCATGAACTGCACAAGGTCTACTTCCATCTGTCCCAAATATACAAATAACCCCCTCTAAATTGGTTTCTGTTAATATTTTTATGCCAATTCAATCACAGGACCACAGTCAAAAATATAGACCCCTCATCATAAAATATTTTCAGTAGCAATCATGTAAATTAATCATAATTTATAATGTTCATGAATCAATAATCATTATAATGGTTGCATTCTGTGCTTTTGTTGCATATAATGTGGTGCCACTACTGCAAAAGGTCTAAACATTCCCCCTTTGACAAAGATCTGAAGATAATAATCTGAAAAAAGGTTTTACGTATACAGGTTTTGGGAGAGAGAGGTGGAGGCTTTATATATTATATTTTATTGATAACACAATGATTGGCTGTCGCCTTTGAATTTATTTAATTCAAAATGTTGAGCAACATCAAACAAAACAAGCATTTAAAAAAGTTAAAATCAAGTGAATATTTCATTCAGGACAAATTTGATTGCTCGTTATTCAGGAGGGCACAGGATCAAATATTTGCATAGAAATCAAACTTAATCTAAAAGATCGTCCGCCTCAATCCATTGCTTGGCTGACTTCAGGGCCACACAAAGACTTGCGGCTTCTCAGGCTGTACCTTGGCTGCAGAGGAAACAATGAAATGACGTTATTTGCAATTAAATAAAACTGGATAACGAATTTTAAGATGATTATAATAATTCATTTGCTAGAAGTACTGGCTCTTTTTACAGCTGAAAATGAGCATTTCAAAATTGTTTACTGGAATCCTTTTCCATTTTGTTTGTTATTGTACAAAAGGTTAACTGTAAAAAAGAGGGATAGGGAATAATGTGGGGGAGGGATAGAGAGAGGTGGACCTAAAATAAGTGTCAACATGTGGAGATGTACTTAATGTCTCTATGGCTCGCCACCCATTATACCACTGGAGCTGGACAAAGTTATTTTAACCGTCTGTGGCCTGGCTTAAAGCACTACACTACACTATACATTTTTACCAAATTTGGAGTATTTTAATTTGTCTTACATCAATACAACCATCAACTTTTAATACAAGAAACATCTACAGTACTATACAAATAATAACAATACTAACTGAAGAAATTGTCAAACATATCGCAAAAAAAGATAAATACAATTCTAGATACGTCCTGGATGTATTTCTCAAAATGATAAAAGTCTAAATGTTGCCACAAAATTCTGGTAAATCACAGTAAGTCTATTTTTTTAAATGTTTTTATGTATATATATATATGTATATATTTTTTTTCTTTTTAAGTTTAGATTACCTGCAGCTTTACATAGCACATAACAGTTGTAATAGTAGCAGTCGTTTATGTGATTTGCATAGATGAATATTCATGGGGGGAATTCACATTCTCCTGCATTGGAAGCACTGTAAACATGCGCTGTCTGGATTGTAATATGTGTATGTTGTTTTGTGTGGTTTTGCAACTTATAACTGGTTTTCTGTACACCCACTAATGCAAGAGAAAAGCTCCCTGATGCAAGAGTCTGGTTTCATATGCAAAAAGAATTGTTGCTCTATTGTATGTGATTGCCGTAGAAGCAAAGGGCATGACTGGTTTAAAGGTTTAAAGATATTGAGATAATAACTAGATTTTATAGTGTATATGTTTAATATATATAACAAGATTTAATATCATATTAGTGCCTTAACTTTAAGCAAATATTTTTTTATGATTAGTATTTTCTAAATGATTACATGGTGAAAATGTTACATAACTGTAGATTTCCTGTGAGCACAGTTTATCTTCTGTGATCTTAAATTGTATATTTAAAAAAATCTAATTGTAACCTCTAAAAAACCCCACAAATAATCATCTAAATGGTTCTTGTACCTCACGGTCCTCCACCAGCACACTATAGACTGTGGCAGTAGAAACTCTCCGACGAGATCCCGAGGATCTCCGAACACGTCTCTTCTGAGCTTCTGAGGTGCTTGGGGCATCAAAAAGTTGGTCTATATAGTACGATAGAATTAGCACAAAAGTTTGAGGCAGGTGTGAAACGATGCAAACAAATAATCATTTCCATAAATAAACAAAACAGAAACGTAAATGCACCCTTCTGCAAAATAGTTATAAATTTTGACCCATCAATCCAGAGCACCTGCTGCCATTTTCCTGCACTTCGGTTCCTATATGTCTGTGCATACTTAGGATCGTGGCTTTTGGCTGCAACTCCTCCAGAACATTGGTGTACCTGAGTTCCATTGATTCTGAAATTCTTGCATGATCTGCAATAGGTTTCCTTGGCTGACCACTACATTTGAAATGTTGCCCATTTCTTTGTTTTTCTTATAAAAAAAAAAAGAGCTTGAACAGAACGTCATGCAACCCAAATTCACTTTGAAATGTTTGTCTGGGAGAGACCTTATTGATGCAGTATAACTACCTTGAGTGCCTTGCCACAATAAGAAACTTCTCACCTTCGTAGCATTTTTGGCTGTGACAGAATGAGTTTTCAGCCTCCTACACAGGTGTTTCTGCTTCAGTTCATGACTCGATTTCAACTGACATTTTTCTTTTCAACTTTTCAACTCACAAACTTAAACAAATAAACGTTTATAATCATCGTATACATTGAAAATGCAATAATTATTGCAGTAGGTTGACTTAATATTTGAGTTTTCACAGTGTGCTTCTTTTCAGTAGAATGAGCCTCAAACCTGCTTCAGAATATTTGCACTTCGTACTGTTTTTCTCTGCTAATCCTAACACTGTTTTTTTTCAGGTGTGTAAAAAATCGGTAAAAGATTCTGAAGCAGGTTTGAGGCTCATTCTACTGAAAAGAAGCACACTGTGAAAACTCAAATATTAAGTCAACCTACTGCAATAATTATTGCATTTTCAATGTCCACGTTTTGCAACCTAACTTGTTTATTTGATTTCATAATTCGCTGTTTATGTCTTAAAAGTGCTTTCTTGTGGCTCAGTCAGTAGGGCATTGCGCTAAAAACACAAAAGTAGTGGTTTCAAACCCTAAGAGAAAGCAAGAGGTGATAAAATAGTGCCTTTGGATGAAAATGTTGGAAAAATGCGTAAAAGTGATGTATTGTAAAAACCAAACGTGTCTCACATGGTCGGCGGAGTGAAGCCAAACCGCGGAGATCGTATTTGTTCACAGTATATGGTACAAATTTACTGATTGAAGTATTGATTTTCTGAACCAAAAAAAGCTAGTTGGCACAACTCTGTACTTCTAATGATCTTTTGTAGTAAGTCGCCTTGACATTTTTAATTCTTGCCTTTTTAAAAGTGTGAGCAACATTAGTTTCACATCTTTGAAGACCCCTGCTACACAAACAAGCCTCTTCAAAGCAACACTCACCATCAGGAGATGCAGATGTTGTCGATACGGCTGTGTTTACTGTGCTGGAAGGGTAGAGAAAAACTAGATTATCGTTGTTCTCCATCCACTTGCTCTCCTGCGGATTTCGTTTGGTGCTTTTCCAAGGATCCACAGATGATGAGAGACGTTCTAGAAGACAACGGATAAAAGATCAAAAAGAAAATCAATAAAAAAACCCTTTGATCTTTTTTGGAGGTACCTGCTCTTCTCAAGGCATGTTGAAGATCTGACCGAGTCTCTTTGAGCTCCTTCAGGATTTCAAGACTCTCTCGACCAACGTGACGGTAGTGCATGATGAAGTACAACAGAATCAGGCAGCCAATCACAACCATGCCTTTTCTTAAAAGCCCGACTAAAAAGGCAATTTTCTCCTGAGAAAAACAAATCGTATTTCAGTCCACACAATCACAGATTCCACATTTCAATATTAAGCACAGTTCATACCATCTGCTGAAAACCTTGGGCCTCGTTTTCCAGGACAGTGTTGCAGATCAACCGTTCAAAGTATATGTTCAATGCCACGAGTCCAAAAAGAAAAAATCTATGATGGAGCAACATTTAACCAAACAATGAAAATATCTCAAATAATATACGTATAACCATATTCAAACGTTAACAATGATTTAAAAAATGCGACAAAACTGATCTATGTAAGCATCAATCCTTATAGGAACACGTTTTAACAGGTTTAGACTCTGGGTTAAAATAGAAACTGGGGTGCACAAAAATGGCAGCAGGTGCTCTGGACAGATCATTCAAAATGTTAATTATTTGCCTATAAGAGAAGGCAGTTTGCTCCTAAATTTGGAATTTGATCCAAAAGACCATAGAGGTACAACAATGAGTGTCTGCAGGCAACGGTGAAGCATGGTGGATGTTGCTTGAACATTTGGAGCTGCATTTCTGCAAACGGAGTAATGCAATACCGCCAGGGAGGAGTATAATTGGGTCAAAATGAATTCTGCAGCAGGACAATAACCCTACACAGAGCCAAGGTCTTTATGAAGTATCATTAGCATGCAGAAGAACTGGAAGTGATGGCATGGTCCCCAAAAATCCCTGACGTCGTCATCATCATCATTATTATCTTTACATTGAAATTTCTTGAAGAGCCAGAATGATGCGCGTAAGCTACATCCACAGAAGATCAAAAACGCTGTGCAAGTGTACAAAATTGCAGCTCTTTGGAAGGTAAAGGGTGGTAACATCAAATATTGATCTGATGTAGAGTCATCTTTTGTTCATTAATCTAAATAAAGGAATAAAACTACCACTTTTTGAAGCATTGTTTGTTCACAGTATTCTTTCACACCTACCTAAAACATTTGCAGAGTACTGTACTTGGCTGACATTGTATAAATGATAGTTTTGGTATCATTTGTGGTGAGGGTAAATTTGGTTGCAGTACTTTAGAATTTATGTATTGGTGATTTGTTCTCCATCCGGAACCAGAAACCTGGGTTTAACATTTAAGTATGTCTTCGAGACACAAAAAGCTGATGATTAGTTTTATTCTCACCTGGCTCCAGCCGTACGCCGAACTGACGTCAGCAGAAACGAGGCACCAAAGCCCAGAGCGTTATAGAAGAGCGAGCTGAACGTGTGTGTTTCAGACATGATAAAGCTCTGAAGGAAAGCCACTCTGTTGAAGATTTCAGCAAACGCCACCTGCTGCTCTTGCGCAGAATTCCTCATTTCTGCAAACACATCTCGCAGACCTGTAACAAACATGTAAAGACTGAACGCAAAGATACGATGTAAAGCTCATGCTTAAGAGTGATTACTTTGAATTGCCAAAAAAATACAATATTTGAAGCACGTAATATACGTATTAAAGCGTTTGGGATTTGGTTGCTGATTGCAAGACCATGTGAAGAGTGGATTTTGGGGGTGGTTCATGTTGCACAAGCGACCTAAAGAACCAATAGTTAGATGTAAAACTAACTTTCTTGACTTGTTTGGTGCTGCCCCTTAAAAAAAAAAAAGACAATATCTTTGTGCCGCTAGACATTTTAACATTAACTCAAAAACAAAGGTTGAACATTTCATTGGACAATCAACAAATGGGCCTTTGGTTGCATAGGCTAACAGGTGTAAATTAATAGAAATGGGCCTTTCATTTGTTTCTTAATGTTTTACGTAACATTTCAACATAATGCTCAGTGTACCTATTGATTAGTATGCAAACAAGATTATAAACAGATCAAAAAGCCCATTTTTGGGGTGAACTAAGAAGATATAATTGTCAATATTCACTCATTGATTCATTAAAAATACTGTTTGATTTGATAATTTGATAAGTAATATTGACAACAAGAAAAATAAATAAATAAATATTGACAAGTAGTCGATGGTAAATCATGCACTCACTGGCCACTTTATTAGGTACATACTAAAATTGTACAGTAGTAGATAGGAAAAAAAGTTCTGCTGCAACATTCAGACTGAAGGGTCAGAATTTGGCAGCAAAAACAAGAAAGTATGTATCCATACTGACCTGTATCAACAGTACAGGCTGGTGGTGGTGGTTTAATGGTGTAGGGGATATTTTCTTGGGCCAATTAGCATTAGGCACTACCTGAGTATTGTTGCTGACCATGACCATCCCTCTATGACGACATCGTTATCCAGCAGGATAACATTCAATGTTATACACCATGAATCATCTGAGACTGGTTTCTTGACAACGGGTTCACTGTACTTCAGTCACCAGAATTTAACCAATAGAGCACCTTTGGGTTGTGGTGAGGGGGAATGTTTCCAGTACCTTGTGGAATCCAAGGTTTAAGAAAGATACTTGCAAGGTGTAACTTATAAAGTGGAAGATAAGTGTATGGAACTGCAATATACTAATTGGATGAACAAAATAAACATAAGCTTGATTGCACCTTTCAGCTCAACCAATCAGAATCACACGTTTGCACCTTGTGTGGAGTCCTGCAGAGTGCTCTTGAGCTCCTCTCCATTTTTCAGGATGTTCTCCTGGGACTTCAGCGCGGCACTCTGAGCCTCGATCAGATCCTCTGCCAACTGCTGGGTGGATGCCAACTGCTCTGCCACTCCGGCTGAACTCTCAGTCAGCCTTAAAGCCAGATCAACATCAGTCGTCATTAATATTTCATCCTCATGAATGCACTTTCGTTTGGAATGTGCATCTAGGGAGTTTTTACCTGTGAATGGTGTTCTCAGCTCTGTTTTGCCAGCGCTCACTCTGTAAATAATGGCATATACTGTGGGCATGGGTGAAAAATTCAGTATAGGCGTTGAAGGCCACGGGATCCATGTCTTGAGTGCAGGTTTTGACATCGCTGTCTTCAGCACACTCTGGAAAACTACGACCCGACCTGATTGGGTTGAGAAAATTATGTTAGTTCAACAAGGGTAAAATGCTGCTATTTAAGCAGAAATTTAAAACACTGCTATTTAAAATAAATCAAAGAGGCAATAAAAGCCTATTTAGTTATTGTTCGATCTTTCTAATAATTGGTCTATACCACACTTACTTTTAACAGATGCTTTTATCCAAATTAACTTACAGAATGGGAAGAAACATCACCAGAAATTTTTAACAATAGGTCAGTTAACCCTAGGAAGTGCTCATAGAAAAGCTTCCAGATAGCACAACTGAGATTGGAGGGTAAATGGAACAGTTAATGATACAATTATATAACAATAACAGCAAAAACCAGTAGCAGAATGACCAAATGAGCCAGAAATATCAATAAATTGCCTATAATGGAGTTAAACACAATGCTAAATAAACGGAAATAATATTTAATTCAACTACTCAAAAAAAAGGAAACAAACATCTACAGTAAACAGCACTGAAAATAGCTTTAACTAATTTGAACTCAAGCCTGTTGCTTATAAAGTACATTTGTCGAAGTGTTGTTTAGCAAGATACCAATCACTAGTTTGGATTACCATCTAAAGTTTCATCACTTCCTCCAACTGACGTATGCTTAACAGAATATAAGTGACATTGTGACCAGGTATGCCATTCTAGGAATTTGCGCTCTAAATTTATACAGGTGGGAGACTGAGGTTTGATCACTGGCCTCACCTTCAAATTCCAATGAAGCTGGGGAGTGAACCAGCAACTTTCTCATCACCAGTCAATCTCCTTATCCACTGAGCCACAACTTAAGCCAACACTAACTAAAAGGCACAAATGAGGCTAGTTCATTGGTATAACAGCCACTTTAGGAGATAAACAAAGTAGGGGCCAGTTGCATGAACAAAGTTTGCAAACGCTGCAGTGTTTTTCACATCCCTAGATATATTTAACAGTTTTTACCCTTTGGTCGACTTATTTCCTCGTGTAGTGTGGCGGCTGTTTCAACAAAAGGCGAGTTTAAAACTAGTACCAAACATTGAACGCTAGGGATACACAGATGCAATCTAGTATTGACCTTAGTAGGTGACAGTGGGTGAATGCCAATGCGATCTTGCTCTGCGTATCATCGCTGAATTCTTTGCAGTTTGTTTGTATTTTCTCCAATGCTCGAGACCAACAGGCGCCATAACGAGGCTGCAAAGCCAGCTCTCGCACGCGGTCATACTCCACGCGACCTTTCTCCTCCACTTTTCTATCCCCCAAAATTAAACAGACATTAATAATAGCGGTCAAATAAATAAATATC